AATCTACCTTAATTCTTGGATCATCTGACCTGAATCGAATTACCAAAACCAGTTCAGACACTGAAATACATTCTTACCCCGGTGCCCAAATCCATCACATACAGTCAATCTAGGAATCATACAACCATGATCCCAAGCCTACTACCGTTATTCTTCTTGTAGGCCTCAACAACCGTGATCAGCTACCAAAGACATCCTTTAACCAAGCCCAGAAATTAATCGCTACAGCCAACAAAACCTTTCCAAACCCCAAGATCCTCTTCACATGTATACCAATCTCAAATAAAATCTCGAAGAAAGCACAACAGAACCTCAGCACACTCAACATCATGTCAAATATCAACAGCGCAACAATCTTACCACCCTACGAAGAATTCGAACTAGTCGATAATCTTCATTGGTCTCCAGATACAGCATTTATTTGTTTTGGATACACCAGCTTCAAGCATCGAGTAAGTCTTTAAACTAATAACTGGGGATAAAATAGTGAGAGGCCACCACTAGGCCAAACTGTAGTTTACTTGAGCCGCAAAATTCTCACACCCCTTCAGCATTCAATGTTAGACCGTGGACTTACGTTTATTCCGACACTGAAATTATCTCCCACCATCCATTTTAACGAAATCTTAGCTGCACATATTTTTTTCGAAACCACCCCCACGTGGTGCTAGAACAATGTTTATTCCTAAATCCACATGGACACCCCCTCAGGCCGCCATCCATCCTGAAATAAGGGTTCTTCCTCCTTCTGAGTGGGGACTTGTTGGCGTCGATTGGCTGGTGGTCATTTCTGTTGTTGGTTTGGTTGGCGATTTTCTCTTAGGCTGGGTTATTATAGGTGGGTCGTCGATGTGGTGGGACATAAGTTATTGGGTTGATAGGACGATTCGTAAGTGGTAAGGCTCGATGGAATATAGGACCGTTTGGTTGACGGTTGGTGTTACGATATCTTGTCAGTGGTTGTTGTAGGAAATGAAAAATGTAAAGAGGTTAGTGGGGAAATGCATAAGGATTACGACGAATTAAAAGTAAATATGTTAGTGTAAAATGAAGCGGAGATTCAGGCATGCAACGTCAGTAGGAAGTAGTAGGAAAATAAAAAGATGTAGATAAAAATGATGCAACTGCATATTTCAAGTAATGAATAACACAAACAATAATGTAAGATAATAAAAAGATAGCTTGCCAGGCAAGGTAATATACGCCCAATGGCAATTTTGATTTTGAATAAAAATATTTGGCAGTACAGTAATAATCACCAGTATGAAATATTCAACCTTCAGTCATACCCTTCTTTTAAACTCTATGGGGCGAGTATGAGTTATTGCCCTTGTTCTTGAAAACGCATTCAATTTTATCTCAAGGCACAATTCTTGATTGATTTAGATAAAACTTGGTGAAATCACTCGATCAAAAAGAAAACGGCTCTGAATAAAGCTCTTCTGGGGTGAAAATCTTACTCTTCGAATGTTTCTTTTACGGATAGCTCTTGGTAGCGACTACTACAATCATGAGTGTGTTGCGATGGCTATCGTTATCTTTGTATATGCCCACATGGAAGTTTGGACGCGCCAAATTTGGCTTGAAGGCACGTAAGAGAATACAGTTTTTATCTGATCTTGATGAAACTTGGTATGCTTGTATATATTGATGTGATCTGAGTCAAGATCGAAATTGGTAATAATCAGATGAACGGTTTTGAGAGTTATTGCCCTTGACTTAGAAAAACGCGTCAAATTTCTCGTTGGCACGATAGAAACTACGTTTTTATCTGATCTTGATGAAACTTCGTATGCATGTATATATGATGAGATCTCGATCGAGTTCGTAAATATTGGTAACAATCAAATGAAGGGTTTCGGAGTTATTGTCCTTGACTTAGTAAAAACTAGTCAAATTCGGCTTGCAGGCACGATAGAGAATACAGTTTTTAACTGATCTTGATGAAACTTAGTATGCATATATATATTGAGGAGATCTAAGTCAAGTCCGAAATTGGTAATAATCGGATGAACGGTTTAAGAGTTATTGCCCTTGACGTAGAAAAAACGCGTCAAATTTCTCTTGTTGGCACGATAAAGACTACGTTTTTATCTGATCTTGATGAAACTTCGTATGCATGTATATATTGATGAGATCTCAGTCGAGTTCGTAATTGGTAACAATCAAATGAAGGGTTTCGGAGTTATTGCCGTTGAAAGTAAAAACTTGTCAAATTCGGCTTGCAGGCACGATAGAAACTTCAGTTTTTATCCAATCTTGAAGAAACTAGATATGCATGTATATATTATTGAGATCTCGATGAAGTCAGAAATTGGTAATAATCGGATCAACAGTTTCTGAGTTATTGCCCTTGTGTGTACAACGATGAGACATTGTTCATGTTTGAATTTGATAATAATTTGATGAACTGTTTCAGGTTTTTGCCTTGACTTATAGATGATTTTAAGATTATTTGAATATTCATTATTAAGCCACTAAAGATTTTGTCTGTCTGTCGGCACTTGACATGAGGACTGATGTCTATAAAATGTCAAAATCAGAGCGATTTTTACAATTCTGCAGAAATATGAATACAAGATGTCAATGGAAGGGCTATAGATCGAGTTGAAAATTCAAATTTTAGAAACAACCCCTTTTCCAAATTTTACAAAAAATATCTCGTATCTTGACATTTTCTACCTAAAGGTTCACGGTAGATATAGTAACATAATTTCATATTTATTAACATACGCCCACCCAGCAACTTTGATTGCAAGTACAAATCATTGTTTGTTGTCCATTCACATTTTGTTTAAGTTTAGTCTATAGAGAAGTTTAAGCAAATTTTATTGTATCGAATCATGGCCGTTCTTTTATCGACAGACGGACAACAATATGCTTCCATAGTACGCTTGGGCATACAGAGTGAAATTGTTGCCTGTAGAGTGTGCACAAATGGTACTACGTACTAGATAATAGACTTAATTTGTAAAGTTCACGTGCAAGAATCTTCAAAATGACATTGACCCACAAATTGAAAATCAAAAGAATCCACCAAGAGAGTCTGTAGAGTGAGCATGAGCCAAGTGTGAACGGACGACAATATGCTTCCATACTACTCTCTGGCTACATCAAGTGCGAAATCACATTTTGGCTATCATTTTTGTATTAATCTTCAAATATTGCTGAGAGTCTTAGATTGTTTTTGGGTTGATGAAAATGCCAACCATTGAAAACAAAGTTATTTGAAACTATGATTTTACAGAGGGAGATTTTCAGTTCAAAATGTGTCATTTTTACATGCAATTTCTTGTGTTCATTTCAAGTGCAAAATTTTCAAAACTTATATATTCATGGACCCAGAGGCATTCTAAGACAATTGGTATACACTTGAAAATCATATTTTGAATATTTGTGACATGAGAGATAAAATTCAGTGTGGCCAGAGAGTATGTGTGGGCATATAGAAATTAAAAGAATCCATAAAGAAGTGATGCCTGAAGAGTGAGCAAAAGTTGCACTATATAGCTAATAGAGAGAATATGAAGTAGAACAGATCAGATATTTCGGTGAAAAATTTCAGATCACCACGTAAATTGATAAGATCAGATCATCACGAAAATCCATAGGGATGATCTTCATAATGACCACCAAAATTAAAGTCTAAAGAAGCCATTAAGAATTGGAGCCGTAAAATGCACAAGCCAAATCATCGTATCACGAATACAGGTTAGATTTTGACATGGTCTTAATTATTAACCTGTATTAAACTAAGTTCACTATCCTTTGTTTTTGGGGCGGGAAATGGGATTGGTGGCATCTAAATTCCCTGAAATTTGCTACCAATTCAGTAAGGCCAATTTTGATTGGACAATATTTAGCTATGAATACGTAAACTTTAGCCCATACTATGTGTGGGCGTATAAAAATGTTACGATTTATTAATTTTTTCGTTTCACCATACCCGATAAGAACGTTCAAACTTTTTATAGCAGCCAGCGTCATGAACCCTTTTTTTTAATTCGCGAATGTTAAGTCTCGATATAAGCTGTCGGCGGTTTAAAAACACGTGTACATTCTATTCTCACTTAGGTAATATATGTTTTACCTATTATTTTTATCGATGTACGTCGTGGTAAAAACCACTCTTCTAAATAACTTCGTACGGTACGAGGTAAAGAATTATAATTCAAAAATGCCTTCGTGCAAGTATTGTGATTGGCCGTTTCTCGGGAAACGTAACACCATAAAAATGTGTAATAGTTTCGAAATGCCTCCCAGTAGGAGGTATTACGACAGCTTTAATTGTTTATAAGAGTTAGGTTCATTTAGATACCGATGTTAAATAATCCTCACTATTAATATCAAGTTTAATTTGAAAATCGAACTAATTCGAAATGCTACGAATTGATAGCACACCGAGGTTCAATATGTTTTATACCTTTGTATGTTGTTATGAAAGACTTGTTATTTGGTTTAAGAATGCTAATTTTTTCATTACAGTTTTTTCTATCGGGATATGCCAAGCACTAGTACAACCAAAGAATTTATGGCCGCTTTGTGATGACAGTTTCACTTATGACGTCGTTCACAACCAAATCGGGATTTACCCAAATTTTTCAGAATGTTTTCCGGTCGGGCAAAGGCACCCGAATTTAGGTTACTCGTCGCTTTACTTCGACCGTTCCAGCAACAAGTATGTTGATGTAAGAATACCACAGGACGCATCAATATTGGACTTCGGATTAACGTTTTTTGTCTATCCTATAGAAAAAGATGGATATATATTTCATTTTCTGTCTGACAATCAAACTTTTGAAAATGATAAAATACTTGAAATGTTTATTGTAATGGAGAATGGCAGTCTTAGGTATAGTGGCGTTTCATTCACTGGTTACTCAGTATATTTTCCACAACCAGGATTAGGTCCTTACACAGTTCCTCTAAATGCTTGGACGATGATTTCGATAGTCAACACCTATTATGGAAAAAAGTCAACACTTTATATTGATGTTGTAATGGCCAGTTTCGGCCACAACTTCCAAATTACTTTAAGCTTGCCAGGTATTTTACGAATTGGAGATGCCAATCCAAAATATATACCATCTCCATTCAAAGGATACATAACAGCTGTTGCATTATACAATACCGATATTGATATTGGTAATATTCCACAACTTCTAAATAATGCTAAAAAGTCGAATTGGCAAAATATACCTACCTGTAAGTAATTTTTTTATGTTTCAATTTCTTGCATTAATTTAACTCAGCATACTGTGAATTTGCCTGCTAATCTTTAATGCTGACATCATGTTAGCCATCTTTGTTTAAACCACGAACCAAAACAAATTATATAGGACCGTAGTTATCTAAATAATTGTATGAGAAGGTGAATTATGACTAAGCAACGAATTTTTTCATATAATAAAATAGTTTTGTGTTTTAAAAATGTTCAAATGGCCAAGGGTGTTCATTGGTCGGTTCGAAAATCACTTTTATATTACATTTCGTTCCATTTGACGATATATACCTCTTTATATCGTACGTATTGATGGGACGATGTAGTGGTTAATTATTTTATGCAATATTTAGAAATTAGAATTTACTCAATTCCGCTAAATGGTCACGCCGTGAATGTGTTATTGTGCCGCAGTTACGATGTCACGAATTAATCTAAATCGATATTTAACCTTTTGTGAATACAATATGCAACAGAAACGCAACATGAATGTATTTAGTGTCGGAAAAGTGACCAAAATGACCACTTTCCTGCATAAACCTTTAAAGCTGTGTTAACACGGGAGGAATTGCTCCTCAGGATGAATCATTAGGACATATTTCTCCACAAAACCGTTTCTTTCTTATAAAGTTTTCCAGACGATACATTTTCGCAGTTGCTCGCGAAGTCGTTCAATAGATGGTGTTGGAAATAATCAAGTTTGGCTACTTTAGGTGTTGGGATAAACTTATCAAGACTGAATGTTCAATGGGTTTGAAAATCTTACGGTTTAAATTCAATACAAATTGGCCTATAAAGTCTTCCAGCAAGTAAATTTTTATGCGCTCAATTAGGGTTAGGGTGACATCTTTTAGTGAATGGTCGTCGAGGTTGAAATGATTAGAAAGAGACATGTCTTTCTTTAATGTGATATCTGATCTGTGAGCATTAAAACTAGTGCGTAAATTATTTTTAGTTTCTCCTACATATTGTTTAAGACATTTCTTGAAACATGAAATTAAATATATTACATATATTAAGATTTGTTGTTTGGCTAATCATACTTGCAAATACTATCAATATTTTAGGACGTATGGCGATCTGGCGTGGTTTCATTGTGGAGTTATAAATAAACATTGTTCTAGCACCACGTGAAGGGCTATTTCGAGCTGAGATTACGTCGAAATCGTTCAAAAGATGGCCGAAGATAATCAAGGCTGGCTACTTTCGATGATTGAGATTTGAGAAGGAGATTCCATGTTGAACTGAAAAAATGTTCCTTTCCACATTTGATATTGAAATTTCAATTTTTCCATTGTTTGTTGGAAGGTTATAAAATGTAACGTTCGATTAAATTCACAGAAAAGTATTTTATATTGACTTAAAAAGAAGATTGGCAACAGGTGTTCAAAAAATCGAGCATGTGTTTGGTTTGCTTTTTACATCATGTACTTTAAAGTACAATATTTCCGTTGCCGTTCAGTGCCAGGATTGCTTACTCTTTTAGTTCTTAGGCATAGTGTTAAAAACCGGTTTATTGTAAACGTATTGTATCTTCTTATAGAGCTTTTATAGGAGAGTGGACAACATTGGCCACTTTGTGACACTAAATACATTCTATCTTGTGCACGTTTGTATTTAATATTCAAAATAGGTTATACAAAAATCGATTGAGAACTATCCCGAACTTGTTCGTTATTCAGTTCAGTTCGTTATTGGAAGGAAAAAATTATATGTAGTGTTTCGAGAATAAGCTACAGCTTATGTCAACGTGGAAGGGTAGATACCCAAACCAAAATTATTTCATAAAATCGAGTTCAGGATTCATGTAATGAGTACTATCCACATATGAAATGAAACGAAAAGATTCTCAAAGGAAAGAACACTCAATATAATTTTTTGACGTTTGAATTTAATTGTTTATTTTAGTTCCACCGTGCCCTAACAGAGTACAGAATAATGTGGCCATAAAACATTTATGGCCATTAGACGAAAAGGGGTTGACCATTGACATAAACACCAACAATGTCGATGAAGATAGTCAGTGTTTGAGGTTTGGCCATAATCATACAAGTTTACCTAACCGTGCTATCCACATTGATGGTTCACCTCTCTCATATATTACCCTTAAAATAAATGGAAGTGAAATAGACGAAACCTTTACATTAACAGTCAACGTATTTATTACGAGCGAATCTTCGGGATCATTTTTGAAGATCATTAACAACCTGGATCAGACATTATTCCAAATGGACATATCTGAGACAAATGTCGAGCTCAAAGCATTCAACGGTCCCAACGCTAACTGCGCTACTGTGACACTGTCAGACATATTTACCACCAATACATGGTATGTTGTTGGAATCCATAGAGATGTTAATGCAAACACAATTGGGGTAATGATTGACGGTAATATAAACGATACAAGTGATACTTGTGGTACTTTTGGATCAAGTGGTGAACTGTCTGTACTCATAGGAGACAGCAATCGACAATTGGTTGGATATAGAACTGACGTAAGGTGTCTTATTATGTTTAGCGACCCAGGGTCCGATATTATGACAGCTATTAAAGATGAATGTACAGATGCCGATTCTACTTTAGTAGGTGAGTAATTCATTTTAAACATGAAAAGTGGTAATCATAATGGCGTAACTCAAGTCCCATCTGTCCGTTTGAACATACTTTTGAACATAGACGCTATTGACACATATTGTTCATGTTCACGATGGCTTAAAATGTTGATCTTATCGATCTACTGGTTAATGAATTAAAAAAAATCTTTAGACGATATTGATCTTGCAAACTGATATTGGTCCGTTTTCCAAAGTCAAGAATAGTATTAATAGGGTGTACCTTTATGTATTTTTAAGATGACTCTATGAGCTAACAAATGCGTCTACGGATCGGATTGGACATTCAGAAAAGAACCAGCCGAAGCCACAATCCTTGCCACAAAATTTTCCATTTTATACAACTGAAATTTCTGTTTTTTAATAGTTTGGTACTCCAGTAGAAGACAAATTTTATTTACTTACATCATTTTAGAGAACTGAAATAGTTCATACTCTAATCCACTTACCCACAATCTATGCAAGCGTTTGTTTTATTGTGTAGTCCTCGCCCATGAATGAATTGGTCTCAAATTAGATATCAGCTATGTGATGTTAATAATTAAAAAAATAAATATTGAAGCTGGAAAAATATATATGTTTTCGATAGCTGATGATGAGATCGTCGGTTTCGTTATATTATCTTCTTTGACATTTCAAAATACAAATTTCAAAGTTCGAAAGATCTTGATATTCATATTTCTCGGCCTGGTTTTGGAGTCATTGCTTTATAGCACAACAGAGCTTAAAAGTTATTTTTTGCGTTAACCTGTCTTAGGCCTTGATAACAACGCTAACAATATCTCAAACCATAATATTATGTAGTACCATTAAGAATCATAAAGGAAGACTTAGCCTTAGAAAATCCTTTAAAGACTTTAATTGATTAGATCATTCAATCGTTCGAATTCAATAATTTTCCTGTACACTTAAAGCTATACAATACATATGTTCACTTCGATGAATCTTAGAGTGTTTTTAAGATGTTTGTAAATGACAAAATGATGTCCCGGCTCTTATTGTCCATTGTCTTTGAGAGTTCTTAAATATTTTAAAGCCATGTGCAAGCTAATTACACAAATCTCTAATAACACTTAATGAGAAACAAGTCGAAGACTTTTAAAGGGATGCATCCATCCCAATTTTGCCAATACCAGCTAATGGTGAAATTTCATGAATTTATTTCACTGTCAGGGAGCGACTCATGTAGACAATAATATGAGGTTTCAAAAACTGAAAGTCTAATGCTATTGTACAATACAAATGTTCGCCTTATTTTTTTCAGCACAGGTTAACAACTGTCCAATAGAAACATTGAGAAGCAGATACCACTATTTATTCAAATCAGGTCAGGTCCCCCCAAGTAGCCTTTCACGAAAGGCTACATACACATCAAAACACGTGACTGAGTGTGCCATAAGCTGTTATGGAGAACCTTTCTGTAGATCATTTACTTATAAGGATACTCAGTGTGATGTATATGACTTCGTCACTGAATACGGATTGACACCAAACGCAGGAGCTGGCTATTATGTAGTGGATAATAGAATTTAGTCATGCATTATATAACTGCACGTACATGTACATTATAAAGAATAAGAACGATGTTTTCAATGCTACAATCTCAAATGTTAATATTGCATTTGTATGTATTTATGTAAGGGATAAAGCATGGAACCTAACAATGCAGGTTTTTGGAAATGCATAGAAAAATTTGAATTGAAAAAAAAAAGAATGACACAGATCATAAGTCTTAAACGATAGTCTATCTCAGAGCAACGGAATAGCTAGATAAACAGTACAAATATTTTTTAATGCAAAACTGCGTTGTGTTTCCCTTATCATTTTCTATTTAGATTGATATTGTGTAGATTATATTAAAAGATAATCGTTATTATTGATAACTCGTTTTGAAATAACAGACTTATTGTGTAAGTCGTTGATATCGGTCAGCGACCCGTTGAAGGAATTGTAAACGACATTAAAACTTACAGTAGAAAATGGTAACATATTATGATAATCATTGAAAGATAACAAAAGACATATCGATGGAATATGTTTTGTTTGTCTAGCTGCAGAATCAAGGTTTTACAGATAAATTAACAGACATCAGTCAACAGGGACTTCCGCATTAAACATAATTACATGCCAATACTCTTACTTTTTCATTTCATTTCGGATGCCTAAAAAGTAACATTTTTACGTTCCAATATTATGCCCTAGTTGCAATGGCATTTCTATGGGAAAGAGGAGGGGGTGGGGCATCATTTTACATAGTGAAATAATTGCAAATGCCCCCCACCCTCCCTCTGGAAATTTTGTGGCCCTTATTCGGGCCCGAGAGGAAACACCACTGACTAGTAAAACCTGTACTGATAGTGTTTGAAATTCGTCATTGGGTCGATTATTGTTTTTTTTTTTTACCTTAGGAGAGGAATCGAACCTACCTGATCGCCTAAAATCACTCTATCAACTGAACTGCTCCTACCGCATCGGCCCAATGTTATTTATGTGTCACTAAAGAATTATGCCTAAATACCTCGAACGGTATTTGTCCGCATTTGACCTCTATATATTAAACTTTTCACAGTTCATAAAAATAATCATGTAATTAGGAATATATTTAAAATAATATTATATATTTATATACATTTCTATATATTGACTGGTGACGATGAAGACTAATTGGAATTATTACAAACAAAATCAAAATTCATAATTTGTATATTATTGACTGGTGCAGACGTAGACTAATTTGAAATATTGACCTTTTATTAATACGAGGTATTACTGGTGACGATAATGATTAATTATTAACCGGCAAAAATGAAGATTAATTTGAAATATTAACTGGCGAAAATGAAGACTAATTTGAAATATTAACTGGCAAAAATGAAGATTAATTTGAAATATTAACTGGCGAAAATGAAGACTAATTTGAAATATTAACTGGCAAAAATGAAGATTAATTTGAAATATTAACTGGCAAAAATGAAGATTAATTTGAAATTTCCACTGGTAAAAGGTAAAATGGAAATATTTAGTAGAAATATTAACTGGTGGAGATTAGCTTGATTTATTTTTATCGGTGGAGATGAAGATATATTAGAAATATCAAATGGGGAAGATGTAGATTAATTTGAAATAAGATAGTGAAGATGGAGAGGCTTAGAATTTGGAAAAATTTAGTAGACCAGTTTCGATTGATTTATAAAATTGGAAATCATACAATAATGAACGATATGAAAATGAAAAATGTATATGTCGGCCATACGTCGACCTCCTCATAGCTGTTATTGTACTTAACTATTAAGTACGTTCCACAATTGTGTGTAAGTAATCATAACAACTTTATTATCGAATTAAATTTGGCTATGAAACTGCTCCGCTATTATTTTAAGCCCGATCTAGTGCTATTGATTTCAAAGAACAAGCAAATTATTATTCATCAAATTTCAACAGGAATCACTCTCCACTACTACACAATTAACTTGTCATTTAAAGCAATGTTTAAAACAATGGGCAGTCTAAATCAAAT